CAACAAATCTGGAGAAAACCATTGCCAATTAAAGTGTAGTTTAGGGTTTCTTTTTTAGTTCATTCATTTTATTTATCAATAATAATTAATAATAAATTTGTTATAAATTATAATATATCTCTTTTTTTTTTAATTTGGCAAAAATGACAAAGATGAAAAAAATTGAAAGAAGTTAAACAAAAAATTGGAAATAAAAGAATAAATTGTCAATATTCAATAATAATAATAATATTTATATTAAAAGAAAAAGAAAAAATGATTGAATAAACCAAAAAATACTAGAAACTCCATTATTAATGGAAGAAATCTCTTTTAAAGACACTGTCAAAGAAACCCTTAATAAACTTGTAAACGATCAGTGCACAGAAGAAGATGCATTTTTAAAAATACATGAATCAGCTTGTTTGTTTTATTGTTAAAAATAAATGAAAATTAATGTTAACAAATAGTCTTACATAATAAAGGAATAATAGAAATTTTTAAAGTACTTTTTGAAAGTGGAAATAAATGTGCATCACTTAAACATTTTAATAACTTATGTCTCCGTTTTCATTTCTTTCAGTCAATATTAAATAAAGTTATTGTCAATAGTGATGGTATAAAAAAAAGTGAAAATGTTTTGGTTCATTTTGTAAAAACAGATTTTATTGATATTCCTTCATTTCAGTCATTAGTTTGTTTTTATAATTTTCTCTTTGAATAGAGATGTAGTTTAGGATATTTACATTTTAATTTATTTACTTAACAATAGATTGAAAATACAATTAAACAATCAAAAGATGTTGATAAAATCTTCGAAACTATTATGTTAAGTAAAGATTGTGATGCCATGAAAAAGGTAGATATATTTCATGTCATTTCATCAATTAACGAAAGTATTTCAGTATCTCAAAAAATGGTTTCTTTATTTATTAATTCATTAAATGAAATTAAAGATGAAAATAAAATCACTGAGATTGTTATTAAATCTCAACGGTTTTTAACTTCTGATAAACAAGGAAAAGATTTCCTTGCTGTTCATCCAAATATCCATAAAAAGGTAATATTTAATATACTCCTTGGATTAAATTCTCCTACTACTTCAATGGCATGTAATACTCTAGTAAGTCAAAAAGAATTATTTTATAAATTTGATAAAACACAACGAACCGAAATATTCTCATTATTTTACAATGATTCAGTAAAACCTGAACTTAAGAAAATAGATCCAAAATCAAAATTAACTTCAGTTATGTCAAACTTTAAAAAAGACAAAAATCAGTTTTTTGAAATGCTTAATAATCGTCCTTTTACTTTAATTGAAGAGGCACTTGAGATTGCTAAATCTTCTCCAAAAGAAATTCCAAATTTAACTTCATTATTTATAAAGAGTCCAGTATTATTAAAAATGTATTTAGTTAATCGATTACGTTCAATTTATGAAAAAGAAGGAGATTTAAATGAAAATTGCATTAAATTTACATTTTCATTATCTCCCATTTGTGACAGTTATTATTTCCAGGATTGTGTTGATTTTATTTTAGAATTACTTACAAAAGATAAGTTATTGGCTCTTCGTGTTATTGAGTCATTGACAATATCCTTAAGAGATTTTGTTGAGATTACAAAAAAAGATTCTGTTTCATTTGTATCGAGTATTGAGCCAATTCATTTTTTTGTTAATCAAAAATTAAATGATCAAGAAGATTATATCATCTCAAAAAAAGGGTTTTGGAACATACTTAAGAAAGAAAAATGTGTTTTTAAGATTGGATTCTTTTTAAGTGAAATGAAATTGAGATGTCATGAAATGTTTCAATGGAATGAAGATGAGTATGATCAAATTTGTTTAACTATTCAAAAATATTTTGAAATTATTGATTCAGTTCTTTTTACAGAAGAATTAAAAAATTATTTCGTTAATGCTTCATGTGAATTTGATTATTTTGTTATGACTCGAGATAATTCTGTCTTCTGGAAAATGGCTAGAATTATTGTTCCATTATGCAGTGATTGGGAACAATGGAAGTCTTTTTCTATTACAAATAATATATCGTTTAGGAAATCTGAACTTATTTCAAAACAAAAAGATATTGTTGCTGAAATCAAAACTCGAGAAAGTGATCTATTCAACACAGTCTTTTGGTTACTTGACCTTGAAGATATTTTTTGTCCTGACAAATTATATAATGATATTTCTGATGAAATAACAAGACATTATGAAAAAGATATAAAAAGAAATAATATTATACCATTAATTAAAAAACATAAGGAGTGGGTTCGAGGTATGATCAGACAATTAAAATTTACTGACTTTAAAAAGGAAAAACTTTATTATATTCCAAATAAGTTTATGATTCAATGTTTAATACCTAGAATTAAAATAAGTATAAAGGATGCTATGTATTGTGCCAAATTTATATTACAAATTTTTGAGAATGATATTGAAGGAGTTTCATTAATGTTTTTATTAAATATTGTTGCTATGTATTTAATTGGAAGTTGTGTTACAATGACAACAAAAGAAACATATAATGTAGGAATATTCCTTAACATTTTATTAAAACAATTAAAAGAATGGAATAGTCAAGAGAAATATAATTCAAATGTAAGGGGAAAGAAAGGGTTCAACTCAACTACTATTGTTGAATATTCAGGGTTTCAAGTTGTATATAATAAATGGACTGGATTAATCACTAAAGAATTAATTATAATGTTAAGTTCAACAGAAGAGTCCAATGTTAATAAGGCTATTAAATTATACAATACAATTTCTTCTTCATTACCTGAAAATATTTTTTTGAAAGGGATGGTAAAAGTATTATCATCTAAGAAAGAAAGACAAAATGAAAAAAGTTCACATGATTCTGATAGAAAAGTTTCAGAGGAAAATAAATATTTGTGTAGTTATATGATTCAAAACATTGGTAAATATCAAATTCAACCAAAAGAAATGAAAGAATTATTAAATGAATTCAAAACTAAAACAGAAGTTATGAAAGAAAAAGCAATTAAAATCAAAGTTGGAATTATTAATGAAATGAAAACGAAACGAAATGAATTAATGAAAGAAGTTTGGGAGAAAAAGAAAGAAGAATTAAAAGGAGGTATAGAAAAGATTAAGAAAGAAAGAGAAGAACAAGAAAAGAGAGCCTTTGAAGTATTAAGTCAAGGGTTAGTCGAAAAAGCTGGACAAGTAAATAGGACAGATAAAAAAAGTAATAAAGAAGAAGAAATAAAAGAAGATAAGTCAGAAAGAAGAAAACACCATCAACACAGAGATTATTCAAGGAGTGAAAGAAGACATCATTCAAGAGAAAGAAGAGATAGGTCATATAGTAGAAGTAGAAGCTCAAGTAGAAGAAGAAGAGATAGTTCTAAAAAGAATAGCCGTAGTTATAAAGAACGAGAATATCGTAATTAAATCGAGTTTTTTTTAGTATTTTTAGAACCAAAATATTGATATAAAAAGAAACTATGTAAATGAATAACCAAATGAATTAATAGTTATCAGGCCAAACTACTTCAAAGAATAAATAAGATAAACCAACGGCTGCAACAAATGATAAAATCATTAAAGGAATACCAAAGATTATAAAGTCTTTAATTTTATAATTTCCTTTTTTCATGATCATTAATGTTTTATTGGAACCAAATGGTAGTAAAAATACACTAGATGTGGCTATCATTACTGCATACATTGAACTTTTTAGTCCAATTACTCTGCCTCGTTCTAGTCCAGTTGGGTCAGTTCCCCAATAAGTTTCCCAAACAACAGGGAACATTAATGCAAATACTGCAGCGTTACTTAATGATTGAGTGAGTAACATTGTTGGAATAACTAATGCAGAAAGAATACCAAATTTACCAAGAGGTAAGAAAGCTCTTGTTAGTGAACGAGCTAATAATGCTCCAACATTAGTTTTTACCATTCCTTCAACTAACCCAAATGAAGCACCAAGAATACAGATTAATGGGACATCTACTGCTTTAAATAAATCTTTAATTGTAATAGTATTAGTTACTAATAAAATAAATACAAAAACAAATGCTGCAACAACAAAAGGAGCAGCGTTTAATACATCAGTAATAACTGGAATAGCAATAGCTAAAAGTGCTAAAATAGTTTTATAAATAACCATTGGTTGTGGTAGTTGAACATTTAATGGTAATACTAATTGGAATGGAGAAGGGAAATATTCCTCAGTTGCAAATTCTGAATCTGTACAAATTAAGTAACTTAAAGTTGGTTGTATTTTTTGTTCATTAATTTCATCTTTAAACATTTCATTTATTTTATCTTCTTCTTCATTTTCTTCTGCTTCTTCCATTAGTTCATCATTTTCATTAATTCCTTCAAAAGCATCTTCATTACTATTATATGAAACGCCTAATATCCCAAAGAAATGATTCTTATAAAATGTTTGAAATTTTTTATTTAACATTTCTGAATTTCCACCATAACAGACTTCATAAACTTTTAATTCTCTATTAGTACTCATCATTTCTTTAGCAAAACTACTTTCAGGGATAATTCCACTATATGCATAAACATCATTTAAAAGTTCATATGGAGCAAGATAATATAAAATATCACCTTCTTGAAGAATATCAGTTGGTTTTGGTTTAAAGATAGTTCCACGTTTAATTCTGAATAACTTACCATGAGAAGGGAAGAATAAAACAGTATCTTTTAACTGCTTATTAATGTGATTACTTTTTGGACCAATCTTAACTGGAATAATAAATTCTGAATGATTTTTTGGTGGTTCTTCAATTTCTGTCTTTGGAACTAAAAACGAACAAAAGGCACAATAAAGAAATCCAACAACTGTCAATGGAAAAGCAACAACTCCTATTTCAAACATTGGTACAGTAACTTGCATATTTAAATTATATTTTGAATTAACAATATCAACTTGATTTAAAATTAATCCTTTAGCAACAAGGTTTGTAGAAGTTCCAAGAATACTATTCATTCCAGCATATTGAATAGCATAACACATTGGTAATAATAATTTAGATGCTGGTTGTGTAGATGTTTTAGTCCATGCAAATATTAATGGAATAGACATAGCAACAACTGGTGTATTGTTTAAGAATAATGATACAGCCATAACAAATGGAAATAATCGTATTGCAGAAGGCCAAATATATTTTTGTGGTGTATCTGGTAAAAGAAATCTTCCTACAAACTTTAGTCCACCAGTTTTATCAACTGCTTCAGAAATAATTAACGCAACTAATACTGTTAATGTACTATTATTTGAAAATCCAACAAATGCTTCTGCGGGTGTAATAATTTGAAGAAATACAAGTAAAATAGATGTTAAAAGAATCATCATTCCTGGGTGCATTACTTCTGCTAATAACAACGTTAACATTACATCAAATGTAAACATAAATAAAAATGTTTTTGTTGACACACTATTTGCATAATGAACTTTCCAATCACAAAAATATAATAAACAAAGGCATATTGTAAAAATGACAAAGAAAATCATACACTTCCAATTACTAATTACCCATTTTAATATCTTTTTAGGAATTTCTTTAATACATCTCAGTATTTCCATTTTTCTTATTCTTTTGATAAATTTATTTCTTTTTCAGTTCTTTTTAGTTTTCTTTTTTAGTTTTCGTTTTTTATTCATATCTCTTGCATTTTTCTTTTTTTATTGAATATTAAAAGAGAAGTTGTTTTTAGTAAATAAATACTCTATTATTAGTATTATTCATTATTCAATTACATTGTCTTTACTCTTCTTGTTGGAAGAATAGGAGAACACTCAAAAATTGGTTTATTTCTTAACCTTCTACAACAACTAATTTTAACTGGTGGTTTTGATTTATCTGATGTATCAAAAGGACGGTCTTCCATTCTAATATATCCTCCACAACATTCCTATTAATTACTTACTATCTTTTTTAATAACATTCTAAAAAAACAAACAGGAAATAATTGATAGAAGTAACGATATCCTCCATTTAGTACAAAAACATCAGGATACCATATAAGAGGGTATTGATCTTTATTCTTTTCTCGATCTAATTGTCTAAAAAGTAACCACTGACCTGGCCCTCTATTCTGAGAATATTCACAATGAAATACAATTATTACATTTACTTGTTTTTTTATGAAAAATAACGTCTCCAACTCGTTTTTAGAAGGACAAGGAATTGCAGAATAGATATGACCACCTTCATATTCATAGTCATACCTACAATCAAATAAGTATAACTTACTCTTCCTTGAAAATAATAATTGGTGAAGAAAATAAGGTTCTATAAGATTATATGGATTGTCAAAGTTCAAGCTAAATATTCTACTAAATAAACAAGGATTTTTTGGAGATTCAATCATTTTTTCTGTTTCTTTTTTCATTACATCTCTCTTTTTATTTACAGTATTAGGGAGCATCAAACAAACAAATTTAATCTTTGATTATCAGTTTTTTTTTCAAAAAAAAGTAACAAGAAGTAGAACAATACATACAAACCAAAAAAAAGAAACGAAAGAAAATTTTTAGGATCTAATTTAAAAATAGAACTTAAATTTTTTATTTAAAAATTAATGAAGTACATATTACAATGGTAATGTACGAGCATAATCATTTAACAAATTAATAACAATTTTATAGTCAGGTCTTTTTGTAGGGTCTTCAACACAACATTTATTAATAATAGAAATTATTGCAATAGGAACTTTTTCAGAAGGAGTAACTCGTTGATGGTTTTTAACAAAATTTTCAATTTGTTGTTTATTCATACCTCCATATGGTTTTTTACCACTGAATATATGAAGAATTGACATTCCAAGACTGAACGTATCACTTTTTAATCCATATGATTTATGTTGTATGACTTCAGGTGACATATATTCCACAGTACCAACACAGTCATGTAATTCTTCTCCTTCATGTATATATCTTGCTAAAGAAAAGTCATGTAATTTAACTAAAGGACCTCCTAAAGAAATAGTTGAGTGTTGAACTAATCTAAGGTTATATGGTTTAACATTTCGATGTAAGACACTTTCTGATGCTAGATATTGAAGAGCTGTAGCTAAATTAACACAACAACGTGTTAAAAAAAGAGATGGTAAAGGTTTATCTAAGATTTGTTCTAGATTAAACATTGTATCATTTTCCAATAATAAAAAAGAAGAATCATAGTTCATCCCAACCATTTGAATAATGTTTTGATGATGAATATCAATGTAATTATTTAAAATAACTTTAAAATCGTCCTTACTTAATCCAGATTCTTTAGTATCCAATTTGAAAATAAATACATTATCTTCTTTATAATTTCCATATTTTCCTATAACATCTCCTACAAAAATTGAATCAGTAAGACCCATAGTAAGCATTGATAAATCAACTGAACTTGTTTCAGTATTACAAGTACTTTCCCTAATAGTTATATGAGATAAACTAGCTCTTTCTTTTATAATACTATTTGCTGATAATTGATTAATTTCTTTCATTAAAAGAATTTCTTTCATACTTACAATAGGAATAACTCCAAGCATTTGAAATCGTAAAGCAAGTGAACTAGATTCATTTCCTATCAATGCTTTCTTTTTTACTTGGAAAGTAACACTTCCTGTTAAACCAACTGTTGCAATAGTATTGAAACAAATGGAAATAGTAACAGACTTTTTACCTCTTTTTCCAATAGTTAATTTTTCTTCATCAACTTCCATAGTATATTTTGAACTAGTACTGAGTTCAACTGTCATTTTATATGTGTCAGTTGTTTTATTATGAAAAGTAATTTTCTGTTTCATTGAAACCCCTTGAACAGCATATTCTCGTCCAAATGTTAATTTTTGTATTGGCTAAGTTTTAAGTTTTCTTACAGTCTTTGAGAATTATATATACTCATTAAAAAAGAAAGGACAAACAGGCTCTAGTTCAAAAGGAAATTTTAGTTGTGCACATGAACCAACAGAAGAAGTTCGTGACTCTTTGGAGAGTGACATGTAATTTTTTTTTGGATTGAGATGTGTTCTATTTTTAATTTTCGAAGTAAAAGCTCTAAAAATTATTTTTTAGGCATTTTTTACCATTTGGTTTTATTCTTTTTAAGTAAGAATTTTAAAAAAGAAATGTTGGTAAATATGTTTTAACGTTGTCAAAATAAAGAGAAGAAGAAATAAGTTTATTTATTTTATTATTTATTTAGTTATTCTTCTAAAACAATGGATTAATATACATTAATATTAACTTAAAATAAAGAGTTTATCTCTTCATAAAAAGTCTTTTGGTTTGAGACAGACAAACAGCGTTTAGTTCTGAGAAGATTGAATCTATAAAACAATCATACTCAACAATATTAACATTATCAATTAAATGGTTTCTATGAATGCACTCAACAATGATGATTGGATAAATTGGTTTGAAAACATATGTTAGACTCATAGCTAATTCACAAAATAATGACATTCAGTTCATATCACTTTACTTGTCATTATAATTTAAATATGTATAGGAAAAATTTAGAAACGGTTCAACAGTTATTAATGTATATTTATTTATCTTTAACTTCTATTTAATGTTTAAGGATTTTACCCATTTTATTTTTGTAAATAGTCTACTGTTATGTGTTTATAATTTCTTCAAAATATATTTTTATAATTGTTTTGCTTCTTTATTACTAAAAGGGTGTTGGATTTTTTCCATAAAAGTTTTTAGGTTTCTCAAAAAATAGTACAAATAAATATTCTTTTAGTTAATCATTATTGTCTTTATCTATTGTTTTTTTTTGAAAACAAATTCACTCTTTTAATTTGTTTGTTTCTTTTGAGTAGTTTATGAAATGAAAAATTCTACATTTAATTGCTACTTTTTTTGTGTTTTTTGTTCAAGTACCAACACTAACCATTCTCTTCATTTTTTTTTCATAAATTATTTTGTTTTAATTTCATCATTTCTATCAGATCGAAGGTGGCACGTCTGAAATACC